TCTCCTGGCTGAACACCCCTTATGAATGATTGCTTCACAACCTAATGTTTTGTGGTGATTGCACTGCCTGGAGGTTTCTTTTTTAATGTGGAAGAATTCATTCTGAAGTTTTCTGCCCATAACTGTATGGTATTATAGTAAAGAACTTTTCTGTGACAAGCAACATAAAAATGCTTGCAATTTTTTTGTATGTTAAGTCACCATTTAAGAAAATCGTTTCAACAATGTATGCATGATGATGTGCACTTCATGCTGCATGACTACTGCAGTGGCATCAGTTAAGCTAGCAGATGACATGGTTCCCGCCATCTCATCTTCAGGGGTAAAGGTAAAGTTGTCCCTGTGATTAACTAATTAAGCACTGTGCCATGAAGACATTTAGGGGTTTGGATGTATACACACACATTTTCTTGACCTGGGCCCTAATTGGAGGTGAGTGTTCAGCTTCACAAGCTGGCCGCTTTACCCACGGGGAAATAGCCCCCGGTACACGTATAGGAGGCTGGGTGGGCTCCAAAATCAGTCTGTACAACATGGAGAAGTGAAAATTCTTGCCCCCACCGAGACTTGAACTCTGGCCTCTTGGTCATCCAGCCTGTAGCCAGTTGCTATACCAACTGCACTATCCCAGCTCTTCATCCTCAGGGGTTGCCAACATAATGCATTTTGAAAATCGTCAGGTTCCCTTGCTGCACCCTGTACATCACTCCCAAAACACTTGCTGTTTGAGTATAATGAACAATTATGCAACTGGCTATGGGCTGGATGACCAAGGGGTCAGAGTTCAAGTCCCAGTAGGATCAAGAATTATCTGTTCTCCATGTCATTCAGACCGACTCTGGGGCCAACCCAGCCTCCTATACCAGTGTTCCGCAACCTTTTTCTACTCCCGGCACACCATGAAGTATCCATGACTCAACACGGTACACCAAAATGTTATTCCCCTCAAAAACGCATGATATCAGACAATATAAATACGTAATGTGATCAACTTAACTATAATATTATTATATTGTTATTTTATTATCATTAAACAGAAATCAACTCGTGCATTTATTAACAATTAATGAACTTTAATTCACTGTAGAGTGCAGAAAATACACTTCTATTACTATTAAAATAAATACAGTAATTCTACTCATACCTTCAATGTGATACTTGTGCCTGCTTAGCTGCACGCAGGTGACTGATCCGTGGTGGAATCATTGACAACGCAAGTCTCATTTCTTCATCAATGGATTTGAGCTGCTCCCACTTTGATGTCTTAATTTCAGTTAACGTTGAGAAGCCAAGTTCACACAAATATGTAGTTGAAAATGGCAATAACACATTAACTGCCATCTCAGAGATAGCCGGGTATCCACTCCTTATTTCCAACCAAAACGTATCCAAAGGCACTTCGAGAAGTTTTATTTTCAATGTTCTGTCTGCTTTTAAATCTGCGAGTTCCTCTTGTATATTATTCAGAAGATGTTCTGAATTCACAACAAATGGATCACGAACCCAGTCGAAATCTTGTACACTCTCTCCAAAATACTTATTCAATTTCTGCTGCAGCATTTCTAAATGTTCTTTAATTGTGTCCACTACCACTGTATTGCTGTCAGCAAGTGGCCATACAGTCGAGGATATCTCAAACGACCCATCTGTAATTCTCTAACTAGCAACCAAAATTTTCGAACTACTTCAGAGCACAGCTGTGATAGAACTGAAACAATTGTAAAACGCGGGATCTCTACTCTTCAAATGCAAGAAGTGACGCTATACTGACTTATTTTTGAAATATTTATAATTTTAAATTAAGTCCAACAATTGGTGGGTGCATCATTACAGGAAGTAAGTCATAAAGTTGAAGAAGCTCTTAACTTCTAACAAACAAGGGCAAATACTGAAACAGCGTTATAAAAGGCAGGGAAACCCATGCCAATCCCTGCAGTTTTAGGGAAAAGCACGTACACAGAACATGCAGCAAGCATATCAAAGAAGCTGCATAGATGCGAGAAAAATAAAAATAAATCAATAATGAAAACTATGATATAACAACAACTGTGAGTAAATAATTTACATTTAATTTCTTAGAATACAGCATTAATGTGCATAAAAAATCACAGCATGTAATAAAGAATAAACAAGCATCATCTTATTTAATCACTGCAGTGGCTGAGAATAAAATACAAGCATATGAAACACGGTAACTGGGATAAAATAAAACGAATAAAATTTGACAGTTAATTTCTTACAATAGGTAAAAGTTCGCGTCACACCTTTCACCTTGTGACGGCACACCGGTTGCGGAACACTGTTCTATACAATGGGTACTCGGGGCCCCTTTCACCAGGGGTAAAGTGACTGAGGCATGAAGCCGACCACTCTCCTCCAACTAGTGCCAAGGTAAAAAAAATGCGGATCTATACATCCACTCCCCCATATACCTTCCTGGTGTAGTGCTTAATTAGTTAAGCACAGGGACAACTTTTATAATAAACAACTATAAAGATATTTGAAGGAGAAAGCTCTAGATCACATTAAGTGGAGGAACTGTTTTGGAAGAGACTGTGGACCTGTCGTCTGAAAGATTACTGATGAAAAAAATGAAAGATATGATACATTTTAGAAAACCTCTCATCACTGTTCTTTTTTAATGTGTCAGAATGAAATGTGTGTAAACAATATTCATTTGATTTTGATGGGATATTTCTGAAGACATGAAATGTTCATTCTGTTCACAACAAATTTGGTGACATGTTTTATAACAGTGTGGTCCAACCTTTAGTTACCCAAGGGCCAATCAAATTTTTGTATAGGAAAGTGAGGGCCAGAGACATTAAAGAAAGAAAACGAATTACATATAACTCACTAGTTTAATATATCACTTTATTTTACAGTCGAGAAATCAATGTGATGATTGCCACTGCTTTTCTGATACAAGTTTATCAATGTCCACTGTAAGTTCAGTAAGGCAAAGTCTCAGGCTTGATTCCAGTGAAGCACTTTCCCACACATACGTACTGCCAAACAGCGATAACATTTGCAGAGAGAATTTAAGCAGTTTGGGAAAACTGTCTTTAGAAATCAGTTTCCAGAAAGTTTCAGGGACATCACACTTTTTAGTCTGGTAGAATGGGTCTGCCTGAAGATCACAAATTTCCATTTGAAGGTCGCAGGGCACCTCACTCACTTCAGTCTCAATGGGGTTATTCAACAGTGCAAGTTTTGGTTTTAGGGAGTCAAAATCCTGGAATCTGTCCTGGAACTCTTTCTTGATATCAGTTATTATTTCATGAAACATACTAAATTTTGTGTCATTTTCTTCTTCTTCTTTC